TTTCAGGAAAATTGTGCATGATGGGAAAGTTTTTTTGTAACTAAGAAAAGTTGTACTAGAAGTCGAGAACCCTGTTTTGAAGTTGTTTTGAAAGTATAGTGGTCACGAAAGCACCTTTGGAAGTATGACAAGTTTTATTGCAAGTCTGGAAATTTGTTTATCATGATCATTATCTGGAATGGTGGAAAAATATTGTAAAATCTGAAAATCCATTTCAAAAATGGAAAAATCAACTGCATACAAATGTAGCTGGCAGTATCCATTTCAAAAGTTGTTCTGGAAGGTGCTTGTGTTCGACAGAGCCTGGTTGACGCCAGGATAGCATTAAATTGCCATTTGATAGGGAGATGTCCGCACAGCCCTGTCATGTCATGTAGTCCCAAACAGGAAATGACTTCGTGGCAAAATGCACATACAAAAAAAAAGTCAGGAGAGACAACAGTGACATTCAATGTTCGGAACTGTCGCCTGGCACAAAAAACAAAACAAGTAAACAACATCTTTATAAAGTTGAGATAATAGACTTTATTAGAGTTTTAAACATTCCCTTTACAAAGTGGTATTAGAAAATTACAAATAATATTCAACAGAGTTTGGATTTACAGCAAAGCGTCACTACGAAATAACTGGAAACAGAACACAACTTTACACAATTTTATTCTCTGATCAACCAGCAACAATTGGAAGTCAGTTCTAGAATACGACCAAAGCTTTGTAAATGTGGCACGAATGTTTATAATCGAGTTGTAATTAAACACAAGCACACAGAAACAATTGCCTTGCTGTCATCTTGTCTCAACCCCCAAATCAGGACATGGCAGTATATTGATTCAATCTCAAATCTTTGCAACTTAAAACAATTTTGCTCTTACTGTTTTTTGTTTTTTTTTAAACAGTGGGGTAAAAAGAAAAAAGGCAAGACAATTGAAGTCTCAACAGAAGATTTACTTAACATAACAGAAGTTGTTTGAATCATTACGATCTCTAGCAAGGAAACAAAACATGTACTACACTTAAAATAAGTAGTTAATCTTGTTCTTTTTTTGCATATATGCAAATTAGACAATGATTCCAATTCCTTACATCAAGATCAATAAAAATTCCTCTATTTACAACTAATCAATAAATGTAAACTCTACATCTTTCACACAAAATACTGTGAATGACTTTATTCTAAAGGTTCTTACAACTTATTACAAGTCAGCAGAAACTAAATATGTTAATGTATGCAATGTGGGTCCCTTATGACATACGTGAGTTAAATCAAAAGCGAATAAAAATGTAAGGGCATGCAGTGCACTGATCATGACAAATTTATCTTTGTATCCATGCAAATTTTACTATGAGTATTAGTTAAAGTTGTTGCCTTGTTAAGATTGATCAAAACAATTTCCCAAACAGATATGTACCCCTTTTTCTTAAATATAGTTTATAAAAATCGTAAAGATTTTTTCTAATAGAATGGGTCATGTAATACCCCCCCCCCCCCAATAGAGTTCCATATATTAAAGGCGGTGGTCATCGCGCCACGTATGCACAAGATATGATTCTTATATATGAGGAAAGATGGTGACTTTAAATGTTGCTCAGACCAATGAGGACAATCTGATATGTTACTCGGCTATAGGTAATTTCTTTGGTGATTGGAAGGAGTCATCGACGGTAATTAGTTCACGTAACGGCCGATTGAAAACTCGTACATGTGATTTTTCACTAAAAGTTATTTTATAATATAGCACAATATTAATGGTTAGAACCATTCCACAAGCAAACATCTGCTCATTTGTAATACTAATTACTGGTAAAACAATGCATACTGTTTTTGGTTCAATACTTTTTTTGATTTGATTGCCAAATGATATAAAATCACAACTGGCTCTTTCTCAAAGTATATTCCACCTCCTGTGCTCATATTAAAGTAATGAAAGCTCATTTTGTGTTTGAGCTAGCGACAGGAAACAACATCATCTGAAGTTAAGATGTGCTGCTGTCACACTATTGGTAATTTAAGTATGCTATTTGAATTACACACATGGAACTCCATAAAAAGTTTGACCAACATGCGTGGAAAACTTGTGAAGGAAAATATCATACCCTTACAAAGTAGGCATGCAATTTTAATGGGACCAAGCATGGTAATGAAAGTCATGTACATGTACTCTCTTCCCTCTCTTTATCTGCCTTTGGTTGAATGCATAGTTTATTTACACAACATTCAGACATTTGTGATACAACTGTTGCAATTGAACTTTACTAATCTGTACAAATGCTTAATTACACTGACTCAAACTATGAATAAGTCTGCCCTAAAAAAAAAATATGTTCTCAATTCTGTTGAAGAAATGATCAAGCAGTGATTATGTCGCCCTCTACCCATCATATTCAGAAAGTTTACATAGAGGGCGCTCTCATTCATCCTGAAATGGCAAGAAAATCTATAGCACACATTTAACACCTACAAAAACATGTTATTAGTGTTGACATGAACACTCTTGGTTAATTGTAGCAATATATTGATACATAGAAACAATAAAATATCTATCAAAAATGACTACTCTTCAAAAAAACTTATGTTCATAGGAAGTACAATGTAGTGTTAATCCCAAGGCATTGTGGGATAGCATCATGTACACTTGTTTCCCATTGAAACTCCAATCAGACACTAGAAAACACAGGGACAGACAATTGCAGCAAACATTAAAGAAAAATAAGGTCAAGGAGACATTTTACATCACATCGTTCTATGTGTGAAATAATCCTAACCATATAGGGTAACATAAATTTTACAGTAATTTTATGAAAACTGTTTTTGAAAGCATAATGTATCAATATGCAGTGGTGGATTTAGAGAAGAGTACACGTATGTCCGGGCCACACACATTTGTCTGGGCCGCACACCCTTCACAAGTTGCCAATTTCATTCACATTTGGCACGATAAATTATATCATTTGCCACATATGACTTAAGAGCAATAATTAACCATGAATTATTCTGCGTAAATGGTCATTTAAAAACATCTCACCACCAACAGAAATGTAATTTTAACATGAGAAAAATATATTGCTTAATTAAAGAATTAGGTATAGTAGCATATCTATGAAGTCAGGTGATTTTCTGTTCACTTACGAGATCTCACATATTGCGTAAAAGACACAAACAGAACATTTTCTGGAAAAAATTGAATGATTTGATTTTAAAAACTTGAAGTTGTTTTTATAAGTCAATGTCGAAATGCCAAACTTTCAGAAAGAACATGGCATTGGGATACCTTTACAAAATTGATCATCATTAAATGTGTATAGCACAGAAATCGTAGAAATACTTTAGCATTTAACAAATCCAATACAAGGTTTGGACGACACTATAATGCTATGACATTTACTTGTTCTGTTTTTTCAGTCAATATCACACATAACACGGGATCTCGCAATGGACGAAAAATGGCCTATTCATTAAAGACCTATCGGTACTAGTTTTCTGCTTCTAGTGTGTTTTTGTGTTGAAATCAAGAAACATGATTATCATTGTCTAGGATTTGTATGTGTATGATTTTGTTGAATATTTAAACATGTAATTTTGCATGCTAAACATTCAATACCAAGAGACGCTCCATCAAGGAAAATGCCACAGTTGTCTGTCCCTAAAATACTCAATACTTTTTAAAGTTACTCCTCTCACGCACATAAAAATTAAAAAAAAAATATACATATTAAAAAAAAACTTTTCTGTAATATTTCTAATTTAAATGTTAACCAAATAGGCACATAACCTGGTAAATGAAACGTATTACATATTGTCTGACAAATTGACAACGAGTTCTTTGGTAAAATACAAGTATTCCAAATATAGTGGGGATTATATATAATATTCAAGACTGAAGAAGTTAGCCTCATATTTCATCTCATATTTGCTATGATCAGGTAACACACTGTATCATTGCATAATCTCCATTTGCATATATCTGCCTTGCATTCATTCAGACATATCGATATATGCATGGGTCAGCCAATGCCATGAATTGATGCAACTCAGAACAATATACAAGGGTAAGATATTTCACTACACCTAGCTTTTTTTTTGCAGATGGTATCGATTGGTTTATAAAATTCCCTCAATTTCTTGATAAGCCCATTGCTGGCTATGGAACTAGAATCTGAGACTGAATTCAAAGCTGAAATCTGAGGCTAAATTGACACTCAATAAGGAGATACTTGAAATGGTTGTGTTAGTTTAAGATGCTCCTTCAAATTATGTTCAACTTGTTAAATGTTGTGAATATTGTAAATAAAAATTCATAATAAGTATTTATAAATTTTACAAAAAAATAACTATATTAGTTGGTTGATATCAACTATGAATCTGATGAAAGTGTACTACATCAAAGTCCATATTTTTGAATATTACAGATGATAATTTTGTTACTATGGAGATAAGATAAAAATATTCATACATATTCATTGAAAAAGAATATCCTGATTGAAATCAGAAAATACATTGCAGGTTATATCACATTTAAAAAGTATGAGCCCTTACTCGTCAACCACTGATAAGGTGTAAGCCCTTACTCGTCAACCCCGGAATAAAGGTGTGACCCCTCACTTATCAACCCCTGGTAAGATGTGAGCCCTTATTCATCAACCCCCTACTACCATAAGGTATGAGCCCATACTCATCAACCTCTGGTAAGGTATGAGCCCTTACTCATCAACCCCTGGTAAGGTGTGAACCCTTACTCATCAACCCCTGGTAAGGTGTGAGCACTTACTCATCAACCCCTGGTAAGGTGTGAGCACTTACTCATCAACCCCTGGTAAGGTGTGAGCCCTTACTCATCAACCCCTGGTAAGGTGTGAGCTCTTACTCATCCACTCCTGGTAAGGTATGAGCTCTTACTCATCAACCCCTGGTAAGGTGTGAGCCCTTACTCATCAACTCCTGGTAAGGTATGAGCTCTTACTCATCAACTCCTGGTAAGGTATGAGCTCTTACTCATCAACCCCCTGGTAAGGTATGAGCCCTTACTCATCAACCCCTGGTAAGGTGTGAGCTCTTACTCATCAACCCCTGGTAAGGTGTGAGCTCTTACTCATCAACCCCTGGTAAGGTGTAAGGTGTGAGCTCTTACTCATCAACCCCTGGTAAGGTATGAGCCCTTACTCATCAACCCCTGGTAAGGTATGAGCTCTTACTCATCAACCCCTGGTAAGGTATGAGCCCTTACTCATCAAGCTATAATAGGTGTGATCATTTTCTCATCAACCCATGATTATAACACACATCAATGTGCAAGTTTACATGACTGTTCATCAACTGCATCTGTTTATCATACATTATCACTGTGATGTACTCCTGAGTACCTCATCTATACCACGTATCTCTACTAGCAGGCTCCAAAAAGGACACACATACTTATCACACATACAGTATCTTATATGCTCTTCCTAACACATCAACATTTTCTCAAATTAATTATCATCAGACATAATTAAATAACAATCATGGTGTTCATCCATCAGGAACCATATTCATACAAAACATCAAAATAACGAACATTAAATGTTCAAAAATATAAAAAAGTTCATCAAGGAAAGAAAATTTACAAGATTCCTTCCGACAGAGGTTAAAATAAAGAATTCATCTTAGCAATTATGTATAAATATCGTTTACTTTGTGTTAGTATTCACGTATTTAATTGGTTTCATCTTGGTTTTCAGTCGGTTGTACAGGTATTCTGGCCTTGGATTGGTTGCTAACTGCTGCTATGACAACTTTATTCTCTTTTTCCTCAGGCTCTTCTGGTTCCATGACAACCTCATCATTTTTAACTGTTTCTACTTGGTCAATTGCTTCTTCAATGATATCATTGATCATCATCCTCGTCATGGTAACCGTCTCCAATCTGTCACCTTCATCTTTTCCTATCAAATGACAAATCATGCATACATGTTTTTGATGCTAATAATCATTGATACAGTTTTTTTCATTCGGCAGATTTCCCACATGAAAAGCTCCACTGAGCTTTGTACAGTAAAATACTTTATTTATGCTTGGAATTTATTTTCACCATTTTCGCTAAATGATTCAGTGAAAATAAAATCCAGTGAATAAACTTTTTTTTATATTTTACATTCAACTCTTCAAAAATCAGTGAAAATATACTCTAGACAAAACAACCCTGAGAACTTTTCATCAAACATTATGCCAGCTAAAATAAGGTATTTTACAGTAATGAATAAATGAAGATTACTATCATAATAATCACCACCCAAACTATAACACTACTTCTTTATCAGACTGCTCGTTCGAAGAATTAAAAGGTTTACCTGCATCAAAGTATATTTCATCTGCTCTCCAGTAATACCCATCATCCAGCTTGGGTTTATTGATTGAGCACAGCTGAAGACCTTTCACAATTTGAGAGCCGAAATATTCACTATTGAAACTTCGATAATATTCTGATTTTATCCGACGAACTCCTTTTCTTCTTAGACTTGGTGCACGTGATAACTTCATCACTGTCAAGTGGGGTTTAAAACCCCTGTCACCAGTCGATACAATGTTGTATTGATTAAAGACTTTTTCAACCAATTCTAAAATAAAAATAACAAGACATGAATGTCATAGTCCCTGTTATTTAATTATATTGTTAAAATAATATATAGAACATCTGCAAACAATTGAATTAATATGTATTCTATGTGGATACAACTTATCATAAAGTGATTTCCCTTATTAAATCTGATAACTGAAAACTTTCATTGACCTGGGTCACACAAGTGCAACCAAACTATGACTCATACATGCTCCAGAAACTGCATTCATAAATCCGAGTAAACCTTGATGTACCTTTAATAACAACTTGACTTCTTTGTTTATTCAGGTCTTTGTATATTACCAGGACCTGGGTTTGTTTCAGTATCACCACTATAATTCCCATCAAAATGTAGCCCTGACATCCCTTTACAGATTCCACTGAGATTGGCAATGGTACAACCCATCTCTCACTGACTCAGATCAAGGTCATGACCAGGGAATGATCAAGATTATGATCAAGGTCATAACCAGGTCACGACCAGGTCACGACATCACTAAAAACCCCAGCATTACAATCTAAGCTGAGCATGCTCAGTTGATCTCTCAGCATAGAGGTTGGGAGAGGTAGTTTTGGATGAAAATACTATATTTTACTATTCTTAGTCAGGCTGTACATTCATCTTTTGAT